AAACTTACCTTCACAGATTTACCTATTTTGCAAATTCAGTACTCGATACATCTATATTACATTCATTATATTAATAATATGAATAATAATTATATGTTTAATATTGACATTTAATAAAATGCATTATTTAAACTATAAAATTATTTTAAGATTTTTTCATCAGGCTGAGGCAGGTGGATTACCTGAGCTCAGGACTTAAAGACCAGCCTGAGTTAGAGTGAGACCTCATCGCTAAAAATAATCAGGTGTTGTGGCAAGCACCTGTAGTCCCAGCTACTTGGGAGGCTGAGGCAGGAGTATCACTTGAACCGAGGAGTTTGAGGTTGCCGTGAGCTGTGTTGCATGGCACTTGGTTACCGATGGGGACAAAGTGAGACTCAGTCTGGGAAAAAAAAAATTCTTTCATCAAGAGTTAAGAGTTAAAATTTGAACCTCAGGTACATGCAAAGTTCAGTCACTGGGACATAATTTATAGTCAATTTGGGTAAGCCTGATGTCAATTGTAAGATATTTTATACTATTTTATAGTATTAATGCAGTGTCCAGGTTGAAGAAGTATTATATGAGGCTTTCCTTTAAGGAAAAAATAAAAAGAATTTCTTGATGGGGGGAAATATAGAAGAAAAAAAAAAGGATTTTAAGACAGTTTCAAGGGATTGTTTATATTTTCTCCCCTAACCCCAGCATCCCTACCTTTAAAAAATGATATTATAAATAACCCCAAATCTATGTTTTAAGTAACTTTGTAAAATTTTTTTAAAAACCTTCTATGAGAAATATTTAACATTTTTCAAGTTAAGCCATATTGTTTCTGTACCTTAAGTCCATTTATAATTTTTCTATTTATATATTTTCATTTAACTCTTATCCAGGATCCATTGATTTCAATGATCTGTATCTTACAATTCAACTATGATTAAGTGATCTAATAACTATTACAGAGTTAGCATGAAGTAAATCTACTGAATGCCATTCAAGTCTATTTTCTTCAGCTAAATTTAGTTCCATTTTGAATCAGTGAATTCTGATCAGGGTGTGAATTCTAGGGGATTAATTATCTGGCATGGTTTTCAACCTGACCTTGCCACTCTCACTAGTGTATTCTGTTTCTCCTTACATTATTTCCCTTTCCACAGACCATAAAATTTGATGATGTGCGTTCCTGGTAGAGGTTTGGGTTTTCAGTAGTGGCAGGCAGACTTATCAGTGACGGCTAACTAATGTAAATAATTGACTATCTCTAATGATTAACCAGTTTCCCCCAGTAAGTAGAAAGCTCACTGTTTTCTCACTTTGTAAACCTCTTAGACTTATAATTTAACTTCAACCTTTTTTTTTTTTTAAATGTCATAATTTGACCAAAGGAACTGCATCTTGTTGGTGAAAGCTGGAGACATTTATAAACTGTTTCTTAATTTTAATTCTTCACATTGAATTTCTTATGAAATATTTCAGATTTACATAGTGTAATATACATCCATGTATTCATCGCTAGGATTTAACAAACTAGTGTTCAATATTTAACTTTTATTAAAGTCTTTTAAGGTATGATGAGACAACTTGGGTTGACTTGGAGGGATTTTTAGACATGCAATGAATGTTTATGCTCTGGACTAAGCATGGGTTTCTGAGCACTGGGCACTGTTGAGTTTTAAGGTTAATCCCTACTGGGACTGGTTTCAATAAGACTCCCACCCCCACTATCATTAGTATACGTAAGGGTAGCATATCATTCTTCATTTTCATTCACTCAACACATACATACTGAGAAAGTTCTGGGAGCCAAATATTGTTCTGGAGACACAGCAGTGAGAAAAATAGAAAGGGAAAAAGATTTCCACCCTCATAGTCAACCCTAGTGGAAGCAGATAATAAGCAAGGCAAGTAAGTCAACTATATAGTAATGCTAGAGAGCTATTAAATGCTGATCACAAAAATAAAGCCGGGAAGGGAGATAGGAAGTGTGGGGAGTCAAGGACTTGTTCGTTGAAAAGGTAGAGTTGGAAGAGTGACCTGAAGAAAATCATGGAGTAAGACTTTGAGTTATCAAAAGAAGGAGCATTCCAGGCACTTGGAACAGCAAGGATGGCTGCCCTGAAGTGGGAGCTCTCCTGACACATTTCAGGAGCAACGAAAAGGCTGGTGTGGCTGAGTCTGTCCATGCTGAAGGAAAGAGGTGGTCAGAGAGCTCTAGGAGCCAGGTAGTCGATGGCCTGATAAGGGAAACCATTAGTGAGTTTTAACCGATGCCACCTAATTTGACTTACAGTGTAACAGGATCTTTCTGCAGCTATGGTGAGAAAGGGTCATAGGAAGCAATGCGGAAGCAGAAGGTCCAGTTCGGAGCTTCTTGATGATGATTCAAAGTATGTAGTAGCGGTCTAGCTGGATGTCCTGTAAGAAAGAACCCAAAGGGGTGGACTCTGTGAGGTGGGAGAGAGAAGGTGGGGGCACATGGAGAGGTGACCTGCTCTTTACTGAGACAGGGACTGCCGTGAGAACAACAGGATTTTGAAGGGAGTGTTCAAGAGGGACTATCAGAATTTCAGTTTTAAACAAGCTAAACTAAAGTAGCCTTAGACATCAAGGGGTGAGCAGAACAGAGGTCCAGGATAGAGATAAAAGTTTGGAACTCATCAGCATATAAATACGACTTAAAAAACAAGAGAATAGATGAGATCACCAGGAGAGTGAGCAGAAGTGGAAGACTGAGCCAGGGCAATGTTTATCATTAGAGGGAAAAAGGGAAAAGCAGACATAGAAAGCAGTAGCTGGAGAGTCCCAGTCTGTGGAGAGTAAGAAATGGGTATCCTGGAAGAAAAAGAAGGCATTTTAGGAGGGTGGTCAGTTGTGTTTAGTGTTGCTAACAGGTCACATAAATGAGTTCTGAGAAGTGACCAGCTGATTTGTTCATGGTCAAAGTCATTAGTGACTTTGATAGGAATTGTTCTAATGGATTAAGGGCTGAAAAAAAAATCTGATTGGAAGGGTTCAAGTTGGAAAAAGAAATTAGAGACACATACTGTAAACAACTGTTACAAATAGTTTTGTTGTAAAGAGAAAGATCAAAGATGATGTGCCAATAGGCCAGGAGGCACTGGCCAGCTGCGGAGGCAGGATTCTCTTAGAGTCTGCTGACAGCACCTGCTGTGTGCTGTGTGTGTGTGAGTAGTAGCTGTTTGTGATTGGTGACTTCAAAGGACCATGCCTTGGGTAGACAAGTAGGTTTTTGCAATGTTTTCCCTGATGTGCTGGTGCTAAAATGAGAGAGAGTCATCAAGCCAGCTGCTAATGTGCCAATAATCGTGTATATTATATCCAATAATTTTTCCAGATTTTTCTTTAAAAGTTAGTTTTTAACTATTTTACTTATGAGTTCTCTACATTACAGGTAGTTGTCTGCACGTGAGTCTCCCATCCTAGCCTGTTTCTTGAGAGAGTCCGCATGATTTTTCTTTAAATACCCATCTCATAGGCCAGCTCTTGCATGTAG